AATTCAAATTTACATAATTCGGTTGAAAATGGACAAAAATGCGAAAGTACACATAACACAACATCATACCCCGAATAGTTTGCTTAGAGGATCTGTAATGAGACCAATACAGAGATCAATACTCATTGCATATTGTTGGCCCTATCTGCTGCTGCTCTCACTGCTTCGATAACAGCAGACCGGAACCCTAAAGTCGCAACAAATAAAAACTCGAAAGATATATCATTTTCAGTGTACAAAAATAAAAAGGTAGACCATAAAGTTGTCAACCAGAAACTTTTGTACCATCCTTATTTATGATTGTTCATTCATATATCCGAAACTAGAACTAACCTGATTTTTCTAGCTCTCTCAGACCCGCTATTGTTGTACCACCTGGCGAACAAACTTTATCCTTCAAAGCGGCAGGATGCTCATTGCTTTCCAGAACCATCTCAGCGGCTCCCTGATGCTCAGCAGTTGTGAAAATGTAATGTATGCATTCACTTTTATCAAGGTGATTTAGATTTTGTGGGTATGAGATGCGGGTTCCTTACTTCTTTCTGTTCATTTATCATATAAAACCTCCAGAGACCAAGTTTGGTGATTGTTAAGTTGTATGTACTGACAGGACATGATACTTGCTGTTAAACGAATAGCTAATTTGGTAGTCACTAAGGAAACCGCCTTACTTCGTTATGATTGAATGGTCAAGAACGGTCTCACCTTGCACTTTTGTGGAACCTTTTTGAGAAAACATCATTTTCTTCAAAAAAAAAAAAAAAAATTCAGACAGTTTGTAGCAAGATAAAGTGACAAGAAAGCATTTCGTAATACTTAAGGAGGATCACTCATCTCATGTAAAGTCATCATTAGCCCAATGCGGATATGATTGGTTATGACTTCCCAGTAACAAATTAATCTAGGTCTTGAAACCGTAATAAATTAAAATTTTCTCTTGCAGCAGATCGCAGCAGATATGAGTTGCTAAAATAATCAGACATCGCATAGATGAGCAGAAGCGAGAAACACATTCTCGTCATTATGATAAGAGACGTTTCAGCTATCATTGGAATAGTTTTCTAATATTATTATAGGTCTTAAAAGTAGTTAAATCTCACCATGACAGTTTGCGCTGCAAGCTTCAGTGCAGTTTCTCGCGAACAACCAACAAATACTCCCCCATCAGCCAGGGACTCGATAAACATATATACCTAAATCAAATAATAGTTTGCCTTTTTAGGAAATAAATCCATGTAATCATCATGTTGTATGTACATGATGGATAGGAAAACGATTGTAATAGTATCTTAAGCTTT